AAGTATTTTGAAGAAAAAGTTTCTGGTCATACCGAACCCCCACGATGCCTTAAACAAAATAATGTCTAAGGAAAGGCCTATTCAAACTTTCGAACATGACTTAACTATTTTATGCTAAGGCATTTCGATCTTTGCAAAACATAATGAATAAAGCAAAGGAAAGCAAAATTCTTAACCTGCCGAAGGGAAAAACAAAGCCGCATATACTATATACAGTGTTTACAAAGGCCGAATGACCCTAACAAAAATACAAAAGTACACAAGTACAAAAAATAGAAAAACAAAAAATTTTACAAAGGCGTCTAAAGAGCCTGGTCTTCTCTGCCCTGGGGTCCATCGGAACCCTCGGAGTCTTTTTTTTATTCTTCTTCGGGGTAGGCCAACTTCTTAGCCTCGGCCTCGAGCACCTCAACGACTTCAATCTCGGCCGATAGATTGAAACCCCAAGCATGAATCTCCTCGAGGGCTTCTCTTCGCAAATGCCTCTTCTCATAATCAACAATGTCCTTCAAGCGGTCCTGGGCCGCCTTGGCATCGGCCTTATATTGGGCCACCATCTCATCAGCATCGGCTTTAACCACTGCGGCCACTGACTTGACCGTTTCAAGTTCCTTGGCCATAATGTTTTGATCAGAGGTAGTCGAACTTAGCCGAGACTAGAGCTCTTTAACCTTTTTGGCTTGCACCTCGACCTTTTACTTTGCTGCTCAAAGTTAGACCTCGACCGAAGTCAGTTGCGCTCGAGCAGCCTCTTTTTACGAGGCCAGACAATCCATCCTTCCCCTATATTCGTCGGTCTCGGCCTTGACAGCATCCATCTCAGCTCGCAGTTGATCGATCTGATCGATTTTTTGTTGGACCTACGGATTCCGACCATTAGTCACCGAGCTTAGCTCTTCGTCACTAACCTCAAATATTTTTACCTGCTCGACCAAGTCGGCATGCTCCTTTCGAGCCACCTCCATCTCATCGCGGAGTCTCTTAACCTCCCCCTTACGTTGCTCACTGAGAAGTTTGTACATATCTCTCTTCTCAGTGAGCTCTTTGGCTTCGGCCTCGAGGAGACTTATCTCTTCTCGATATCGTAGGAAGGTCTCGTGGTGAAGCATCGAGGCCTGCGAATAAAGGAAAAATATTAAGATCATCAAGTAACCAAAGATGGAAAATAAAAAGGTTTGGTAACACCTTACCCGGTTCAATGCCTTCGTGCTTCGTTGAACAAGCATGGAGATTCCACCTCGTTCATCTTTGACTGGTCTTCTTCAGTCACCAAGCACTTGAGGTAGCTAGCTACCCCAACAGGTGCGGAAAGGACCCGGGCATCCTCCGGAATAGAGATAACAATCGACCGCTTCCGACCGGGATCAGCACTCGGGACAAGGAATCAGTTGACCAATCTCGGGCTCAAGCTAGATCCACTTGTCCCCGAGGGTGGACTTCTTCTTGGTACTTCCAAATCACCCAAACCGGTGACATCCTCTATGGCAATAGAGTCCACGCCATCAAAAAAGCTTTTGAGGGGATCGTTCAATCCTTGGACCCCCTCATTTGAATGCTCCTTCGCCGCTTGAGCTTCACCGAACATTGAGTCCGTGAACGAAGGCAATCCCGTTATATCGATGACACTAGGTGGGGCAGAACCGGCATCTTGAGGGTTCTCGAACCTCACTGATGTGTCGACCTCTTGAGTTTGGGAAGGATTGGCCTCTATCGGCCCCCTTTTGGTTGATGCCCATTCTTCAGGGACCGATGGCTCCCGGGCCACTAAAATTTCCTTCTCTTCAGACTCGTCCCTGAGCCGGTAGAGGGAGTCCGAATCAAGTATTTTGGAGCTAGAAGTTTCTTTTGGCTTGTGGATAAGCCTCCTCTTTGGTTTCTTTTTCTCCGAGCTCGGAGAACTCTGAGCCATTTTTCTCTTCTTCTCTTCACCATGTTTCGGAGCAGGGGACTCAATGGGAAAATCATCACTACCGGATGGGGGCCTCATTTGGACATCCTTGGGTAAACCTGCAAAAGGAAATAAAACAAGTAAAGACTTAATCATGCAAAGGGGAAACCAAATATCACTTATGAAAGAGATCTCATCGTGCGAACGGGCCTCCCAGCGTCCCTTTGAAAGCTCGCGCCACGAGTGCTCAGAATAAGGCCTTTGCGATACGATGCCCTCGACCCACTCGTTGAGTCGAGAAACTGCGTTCGGGATCCGAGCAATAGTTGCATCATCACAGAACACCGATAAGAAGGAAGAAAAAGGGTGATAAATAAAACCTTGGAAGCAAAATTATATACTTACGTTTCATGTTCCATTTCTCAGGGAACGGCATGTGCTCGGCCGGGATCAAGTCTGGGGTCCTCACTCGGACAAAACGACTTAGCTAACCTCGATCCTTATCTTCATCGATACTCGAGAATGAGGCTTTACTGGCCCGACAGGCAAGCTTGATCAGTCCCCCCCCCCCCCG